ATTTACAGTACTGCGTCTTGTGCCACTGCTGTACCTGATGTATCCAATCTGGATTAAATGGAATATGTGCCACAAAGCACGGAACTCTTGCTGTAGTTTTCTTTAGCTGGTGTCATTAATGAGATCAAGTTAGTTATCCCAAACTCAGAGGCATCAAAGACCTGCTTGATATGACCAAAGATCCATCTGCTGTAGAATCCATTCTATTCCAAACAACATCGGGTCAGAATAATCCAAGAGGTCCACCAGTCAGTAGCAGCCAACGTCCTCCCAGGAACCAGTATTCAATGAAATACTGCCTTTCTCTATGGGCATCCTATTTCACCATCAGAATATTATCTGCTTTAGACACACATACTGCAGCCCACCACAGCTTAAACCATCATCACCCATTTGATTGTGCAAACTTTTGTCTGTCTTGGACTATTGCCCATCAACTTCTTAGGTGACCTAAAGTACCATTAGCATTATGAAAAATGCAAGAAAGTGGACTCACTATCCACTTTTTCCACACTATGTATAGTTTTATAAACCCATTAAACTGCAATCCTCTGAAAGCCTATTCAAAAGTAGGCCCAAAGGTCTTTCAAGGAATTATGTATCGGATTGGATAACAGTGTGACCTTATGCATATCTATGCAGGATTCCCATAGTATTAATACTTGATCCCATTAAATGGAATAACTCTTTAAGATTACAAGCTTCTCATTAAGATTTACTTTCAGAAAAGTACATGTAAAATTCTAGCCTTAGTTGACCCATGTGACGAATTCATATCCTTCAGTTTGAGGTCCAAAGTCATATAAGGCTTTTGTAGGTTAACAGCAGCACTTTCAAATCAACTCAAAAGCATACATGTAGCCAACACAAGGTGACCAGCCTTCATATTATATGTTTGGACCTTCTGGATAGATTACTGAAAACATTCCTGTTCAAATATTGACATTGTTGGGCCACCAGTCAAAGCTGTTAGAAGACATCCTGTGCCACTGAGGTCACTTGGATCTCAAGTGGCAAAGATGGCTCAAGGAGGACCATAAGCCATGAACTTGGCCCTTCAAGGGGTATACAACCCCATCTGGAAAAAAGTTGAACACCCGCCAGCTGGTCAGAAGCATCACAATCTTGTCTGGACTGAGCTTCACATTGTTAGTCCTCATCCATTATTACAACCAGGCATTGTATTAGCACATCCATTGCTGTACCTGATGGAGATGAAAGAGGAGATCTGTGTGTCAACAGCATACTCCAGAACTCCAAATGACCCCACAGTGGTTTCATGCTGATGGTGAATAGTGTGGGTAGCAAAACTGACACCTGGGTAAGTACATGCTGGGAATCCACAGGGCTAAGCTACATTCCCACCACCTTCTGAAGCTGGCCACCTGGGGAGACAGTGCAACTGCGCACCCAAGGCTATCCCTGACCTGCCCATGGAATACTCTGCTTCAGTTCTACATCTATCTTTCCATAGCTGTGGCAGGGGACCTTTGTTCTATTGGTGAATTAGCAACTGCATTCTCAGATAGACTAACAGTACATTTGAACAATTCTGCAGAGCTATGCAGGCACTCCAAATGTTCCTACACTATCAAATTAGTTGAAATACTTTTCTTGCAACCATTCAACTATTCATTTAGGGATAAATGAAAGCCTGTGAATAGGTACTGTGTTTTCTCAATCTTTGTAGAGCACCTAGAAAATATTAGGCACTTCATAAATATTTGATCCTTTTCCAATGCCTATAGTGAAAATGCATATACTGTATTGAAAACATTGAACATTTGCCATTTCGGTATAGCATGTATCTTGAATATTTACAGAACTAGTAGTTTAAAAAGTTATTTAAATATATGTTGGTTTCATTATTATAGTAAGAGAATATACTTGGCCTTGACTGGTTCAATATTCATATTTAGAAAGTTCTAGAGTCAGAAATGTTACTTCAGGTGACATAAAATTCAGGTAATAAATATGTAAGTAGCTTACAGATGTCTATTCATTAATAACTGATCAACGAAGAGCAGCAGAAGAGGAAATCTAACCTGAGGTGTAAAGTGAAATATTCCTTTGGAAAGTAAAGGGAGAGCCCAATACAAGCAAAACTGAAAAGTAGATCATTCTAGTGTTGCCACTGAACAAGGAATATATATTATACTAATCATGTTGTCATATTGTTTTCAATTGTTATAAGCCATATATCCCACCAGATGGCATAATTTTTTCTCTTTCCATTATAAAGCAAAAGTATGGTTTATAATAGCTAGCAGGAGCGCTATATTGAAAAGTTACCTTAGTTAAATACTAGCACAGCATCACACTTGGCAAGTACTTACTGCTTTGCTGATCAGAACAAGAATGCTTCCAGTGTAGCATTTGTAAGCAGCCAACCCAATGCTTGTAAAAGCTTCAAAGCTTGTCAATGCAAGGCAGTTCAGACCCCCATTTATCCCAAGCCTCCAGAACTCCAAAGACTCTCTGATATGGTCCTTGGTGTTCAAATTGTTCACCTCTGCTTCATCTTATTCCACACTTAAGATGTAAATTTTACATTTCAAGATTTGAAGGAATCAAATACCAAGTGGCACTCCAACTGGGATCTCCTTTTCTCCTTGGGTTCTAGCAGTAACCTAGAAATACTGCTTCCCTCAAGCAGACTGTCATTCACATAAAGAAAACTGCTGCATGATCAAAGTTGCTGTGCAGGGTATGCATGGGTACCATGAGTCTTGCAGATCTCTGATGCACTAGACAAGCAAATCTGAGAGCTAAACTGGATACAAGGACCTGAGTTTAGACCATCCGTGATTTTAACAAAAGCATCCAGTGGATAATGTCCCACCAAGTCCAATTGCACCACCATTTATCTAGTCAGGCCTTGAGAGAAAAAAATAAATGTTTGCACTTTGATAACCATAAACAGCAAAGTAGGCTCCATCATTGTGATCACACATTATCATACAGGCACAGTACTCTAATGCAGTTACCTTACCCATAAGCATCCCCATTCATTTAAATAGGGTAGGTGCTTCTGGGCATGTAAAGTGAATAAATAAATGGGCAGTCTTCATTTGTACAGAAATCATATGCAGACTATGGAAATTTAGCCTGGGACATGTGACTATCCTCTTTTGCGGTGCCATGAATTAGGTTAACTGAACAAAGTTAACCACCAACGTAACTGTGCACAGGGAAGAGAAGTCAAACTGTAGCAACATCTGAATTAACAACATTGAATTAACAAAATGAGATAAAGAAGACTGTACAGCATTACTCATACATTTACCAACTGAGCCCCACATTGTGTCATGATTTAAGATAGAGTATCTGAAACAAAGCAGGGCAATTCATTTTGCGTTAATATATGTAATTTCATTTCTAATTGAAGTTCTCCCTTATGCATTGCAGGCCTGATATTGGTACCTGATGGAGGATAGTCTAATTATATGAGCTTCATATGCTCTATGTATAATTAAAAATATTTCCCATCACATGGCCAATCTAATCTACATCTGGAAGGATTAGCTATGCAGTTTTCATTAATTTTTATTTAAATCAGCAATGTGCACTGAGATATGAAATTGTGTTGCCGCTAAACAGATGAAGCAACTACAATTGCAGCTCAGTAGGGTCCATAGCATTTACTGACAATCAATAACTAGGAATTATGAGTGAAGAGCTACAGAGCACATAATTTCAGCAAATTCCCCAAAATTCATCAGATGCTGGCCGTGCCTTTTATTTTCAAAAGGTTCCCATGACAGCTAAAAATGAATCTGTGTGATAGAGCAGCTAAATACCCTCAAAACAAAACTCACTGGGTGTCTCTGATTCTAGGTCAATTGCCACCAGTCTAATGTTGCTTCAGGGTTCTTCTGAGGGGAACACTAAGGGGCAGGAAATAGATGCATGCAGTCAACCTTCAGTAAAGAGAACAAAACATGTGATAAAAAGGTATGCTGTCTATTAAACACGCACACGCAGAGAGAGAGAGAGAGAGAGAGAGAGAGAGAGAGA